CATGATCTTATCCATATAGCATAACCATATGAATTATTATTCAAATACTTTCTCATCTCAAAAAAAAATTAGTCATATATATATATATATATATATATATATATATATATATATACATATAAAATAGTTTTCTTAAAAATATATAGATATTTAATTATTTTTAATTCAAAATTCAAAAAGAGTAACTAATTATTAACTAGCTTAACTAATTTTTTCCTAAAATTTAACATTTGTTGAATTTCATCGTCACATTGATTTGCTTCTCATATGCTAGTCACATACACCAAATACCACCTGGACTTTCGTCAAATGTTAACTACCAATCTTTTTGTTCAGCTAACCACCAAAGAAAAAGAATTATAAGCTCCCAAAATTCAATAATTTTCTTTCATTTTACTTTCTTTTTTTTTTTGGCAAAATGATGAAATCTTATAGGCTCTTTCAAATTACATGCCCCATTAATCTAGGGAGACGGTTCAAAATCAAATATACTGCTGAACGGCGATATTGAATTTTTTCCAGTAAACATCAAGAGTAAGTTGATTTTTTGCAGTTTCAGTTATTATCATCACGTGAATTATATTGTAGATTCTTTAATATTTCAGAATTTGCAGTGCCAACAGGCCAAGTAGCTACCAAGGTGACCTTTTTCCTTCCACGGTAGTACTATGAATACAAGATTGTTGTTTTGGAGGGCAAGAATTTTACATAAGATTCTCATTCAAAACAATGAAAAGCCAAGGGCCAATACCAGAGCATTAAAAGGTGAAGATCCAAAGACCTTTCTTGCCCTGTTCAAAGCGATGTAACTATGTAAGCATATATGTGTAGCATGTTTATTGATAATAGGCACAAGAATATGCATTTGAAAGGTGACGTCGGATGGAAGGGAGTAGTTTCTGTGAACACTTAAACCAATCAAGTAACCTGTGCTTAATTTTCATCTGCAAGAGAGTTACTCAAGCCTGCATTAGCGTATGCATTCATTTCTACCACCTTAGAGCCTTGCCAACGCTGGATATTTCTTTAATACAGCTGATACCACAGGATTCCACGAAAGCTCGCCAAAGATAGCTTCATATCATTGTTACACCCCATGTTTTCGTACGTAAAAGTACGTCGATAAGTCAATTGATGTAAGCTCGAGAATGAGATCATCTTTAAAAGTACATGAAGTTAATCATGTTACCTTGGAGTTTACAAATATTTACGATCATGAACTACAAGTACCAAGAGGGTTAGAAGGTTTAGAAGCTAAAGGAATTGAAGAAAATAAGTTTCGTCGAATGTCGGCAAGTTGGGAATGTTGTAACCCGTACTTTTGGGGGTGAGACTGGGGTGCTTAACATGATAAGAAGGTGATGAGGTATTTTAGTCGTATGATAGTCGTGTGTTAAGTTTTAAAGTCAAGAGAGTTTTGAAACAAAAGTCGACGAAAGCCGTCACAAGTTATACTCAAAAATTGTATTGAAATTTGGGTCTAATGTCATTGAGGTTTTTACCAATATACTTGGAGTTAGGGGGTAATCCATCCACCAAATTGAAGATCTATGAGTCTAGTTTACAACTCATTAAACCGTTTGTCGATACAATATCGGAGTAGTGAGATATTCGCATTTTTGCGAGATTGCGCAAGTAGCTCCCTTTGGGACCCACAAGGTCGGTTGAGAATTATCTTGCTATATAAAGTTGTGGCTTTCATTTCCAAGTATTATTTTCGACCCAAATCAGACCTAAGACTCTCTCTAGGACTCCTAAACATATCCTTAGGGTTTTGAAACAATTCTATCATCCACAACTTAAAATCAAGAAACGAACACATCAACGCGATCCTTACGACATGAGTAAGACTTTGACATCCTCCTTTCTCCTTATATGTCGAGTTTTGGAAAGAGCTTCGTGGCTAAGCAAGCTTGTCACCTCTGTATTTTAGCTATACAAGCATACGAAAGGGTGTGGATCAATGGAATAAGGTTTGGAAGCAAGAACGCAAGAGGTATGTAAGGTTTTCATTTCATTTTCGGCATGATTTGGTGTAACTATGTTCTAACTTTTATTCTTGATCTTTTAAGAGACCGTTTGGATGGGCTTGTTTTAAGTAACTTTTAAGCCAAAATAGCTTTTAAGTCATAAGTTAAGAATTCTAGCTTTTGGCTTATTTTTGTCATTTTAGCTTTAAAACAAGTGCTTAAAAGCAATTTTTTTTTTTTTTACTTTATCCAAATACTACAAAATGGCTTAAAAGTTATTTTGGCTTAAAAACACTTAAAACAAACCAATCCAAACGGGCTCTAAGAGTTTTTCAAGGAAAATTTGAGCAAGTATTGTATCCTTATATAGTATGCAATTCCATTTCACAGTATGGAAGAAACTAGTTTAGGTTGGAACTTCAAAACACAACAAAAACAAAAACAAAAAGGGTGAATCGCCCATTTGGCCTATGCCATCCGGACTTCTGTTTGTTTCGTTCCTTTGATGTTTTTATGTATACCTAACCCCCATATGATCCTAATAGCTTCATTTAAGATTATATGAGCTTAATTATCACGTGTTGATGCTTAGATTATTCTTAAATCATATTTAGACTTTCATGTCACAAGTTAGCCACTCCGAGCCGACATTATGTTCATAATTCCATTTTGTCAGTCGTTCGACACTATTGTAGATAACTGGATCTCCTCTAGTTTGATGTTATCATCTTGGTTGGGTATCCATTCCCGTTTATATTGTGGTGTTTACTGTGTTTTTTGGGATCATCCAGTTTTAGGGGAAACTCTACCGAAAATTTTGGAAATTCGAAGAGTTGGACAAATTTTGAGTTCCTTGGTTCTATATTGATTCTAGAGGGACCCTAATGAGTTAATTAGCCTTAGTATCTCATGTACATATTCAGTTTCTCCCTACAATGGGGATAGGCTCCTCCATCCAACTTATGGATGACGAGCGTCAGATTACGTTTGTGATTTCGTTTATGATTTCCTTCATGATATCTTGAGTCCATAAGATGGTGCCACATGTGTTATGCCTCATACATGCTTACATTGATTATGCTGGGGGGGGGGGGGGATATAGGCCATAACACCAGCGAAGTCTATTGATCATATGCTGGGGGGAGATAGCCCATAACACCAGTCGGGCCTACTGATTATATATTTACCTGTTGGGGAATATAGTCCATAATGCCAGTCAAGCATGTCATATATACGTATATAACTACAGTTTGCATTGCATGACTGTACATGAGGCTAGAGTTGTCAATATGGGCAATTGACGGGCTGGGCTGGGCTAGCCCACCATTTTGATGGGCCTTATAATTGTCAGCCCACCCCAGCCCTATGTGGGCCGCGGGCCCCCACGGGCCGGCCCATCATTTTTAAAAATATAATTTTATATTTTTTCTTTAAGTTCTAACCTAAAAAAAGATAATTATTTAAAAGTTAAAAAATATCTTATTGGAAAAAATTTGCAAAACTTACTAACTTTTTATATTGTTCCAATATATCACAATAAACACTAAAAAAAGTAAAAGACAAGACTATATTTCATTCACTAAAAGTCAAAACTTAAAACAAACTATTCAAGAGAACGTTCATGATGCTTATGAGATATCCAACACATCATCTTCATCAAACACATTTGAATCCGCTTGTGACAAGGTTGTCTTAACATCTTCACTTTCATCTACAATTCATATGCAATATTATTTAGTGAAATATTAAAAATAATTAAATTTTAAAAATTAATAACATTTAAATTCACGTAAAAAAAATATTACCAGTTTGAGTTTGGGAAAACTGTGCAGCCAATTACGAGTAGTAACACGTGTTTGGACATTTTCATAATAAATGCAACTTCTGTACTTAGTAAGAACACGCCACCAAAGCTAAATGTTGATTCCGATGCTACAATGGTATTAAGAATACTAAGTACATCACGCACCATCATTGAAAGATCGGGATATTTTCTAGAATGATCCTTCCAATACATGATAACATCCATCTCTTGAAACTTCTCAAGATAAGTTTTGGTTCCTCTTAGTAAAGATCCAATTCTGACTTTTCATCTCTAAAGGCAGTATACTTTTTATTTTTTATATATTTTAAATAAATATTTTATAAGGCCCACGGGCCAGCCCGACCCAGCCTCAGTCAAGCCTCAGGGCCACGGGCTTACTCGGGCCAGGCTTAAAAGCCTCATTTTTAAACGGGCTCCAAAAATTCTAGCCCAACCCTGCTAAATCACGAGCTGGGCTGGGCTGGCCCAACGGGCCAAGCCCATATTGACGGCTCTACATGAGGCTAATTCAGATGTATCGTTACCTGATTGGGGGATACAACCCATAACGCCAGACATGTACCAGTTCAGATATTAGTTTAGTTTCAGATTAAAATTCGATTCAATTCCAGATCAGTTTCTAGTTTAGACTCTTGTTTGGCTTTCAGCTTATATCAGATTTCCAACTTACAACATACTTTAGTATGCTTAACATATACTTTGTATATATCATACTCACGTCCTTTTCGGGGCGCTACGTTTCATGTCGCACAGGTACAAATAGATCAACACTTGAGCCACATCAGTAGGCCATCTATCAGCCGTTGGAGTCACTCCACTTACTTCGTATGACGAGGCCCTACTCCGTCCCTGTGCAGTTAGTATGTTTTCATATGTCGGCTTTCCAAATTGTACCGTTCTTATCAGCTATGCTCATGCTTGTTTAGTTTATCAGTCTATATTCATGATTAGTACATTATCGGCACTTAGTGCCGGTTATCCATCTCAGCCCTAGGCTGGGTCGTGACAATCATCATATCTACTGATGCATGATAAGAGTATATCATTTGTAATGTATATGCCCCAACGGAACACATCCCTGGACTATATTGGTCCTCATCGGGAACAGCTCTCGGTCTAAGTACTACAGACAACAAATCAACCCAACATATACAAAGAAGCAGCCTTGAAAAGCAAAGACCTAGGCAGGGTAAGCTGCACCGAAATAAAAAATGCAAAAAGCACCAGATAACACTCATGTGATGATAACATTCATTTGATAAACAGGAGATAATTTGACTTGAAACTCCTCTCATCCAATTTCCTGCTTCTCTTATGTCTAGCCTGAACTTACATATGTAACCTAAATTTACCTTGGTCAAAATTAGCTCTACAAAATTCAGCCATCAAAAAATGGCAAAAATACTCACTGAGCCGAGATCGATGCTCAGCTAGCAACACTAACCTTGAATATATACTATATAAAAGATCAATTATTTTACTGATTGCTGAACTGTCTTCACCTAAAATTCTGCATAGCACTGCGGCTTCTTGTGATAAAAGAAGCACCAATGCCAGAAAACGTACGCCCAAACACACTATAACCAGAGTTCTCATTGCTCTGTTCTGAGGTGAAAACAGCACTGGAAATCTGAGGACTGCTTTCACTTGACACTTTGACTATATCTGATATACCTCCAAGCTCCTAAAGAGAGGAAAACAAAAAGGGTCCAATTTCAGATCTGTGTAGATGGCTAAAAGGTTAGGGCTTAATAGAAACTCATGAATACCTTCAGGCCTGAGGCAGATATAGCACTATGCAAAGGACGCTGCAAAAGTTTAAACGGGGATTAGTTCTTTTTATCAGCAGAAGATGATAGAGAGCTTCATGTATACGACTATTTGGAAGACCCTAACTTCTGAAGCATTCTGATCGTTAAGACCAAGGTTGAAGTACTTCTACAAAGTACTTAACACTCTGGGAAGGGCCAGTGTCGGTATAATGTTTTATCCAGTCCAAGCTAAGTTAGACTTTTGCTTGTAAACTGCTTCTATAAAGCTAATGTGAGTAAAATGGGGCAGAAACTGGTCTTCAGTATTAATGGCTGCAAAATTAACCAATTAACAAACCTTCGGAGATACACTAGAAGCAGATGGAGATGGTTGTTCGATTGATGAACTTGGAGACAAAGGCCCAGCCTGCAGAAAAGTTGAAGCAAAATGCAGGTTATTACCAGACAATGCATAGCCAGTATCACAAGATTGGCATGCAAAGAAAACTTAGAAGTCTAAGACAAAAAGCAAAGAAGTCACTCTTTAATGTAAATTTGCCAGGACTTCAAATCAATTAATACAAAGTCAGCACTAGAGTCGGCCTTTCCCCATATGACTGAAGATGCTCGACAAACCAAAACCAACATGGTCTTGCAACAGAAATAAGTAGATCATTCAACTTTTCCAAACCACCAAGAGCAGGATAAATTATAAAGACACAAACAAGAGATGGAAGAAGGAATCAGGTCTGCAGCGCGATAAGCCCTTTATTTAATTTATTGATGACGGAAGATAAGCCATTTTAACTATAAACCAAAGAAACTATTGACTCGGGCAATATTAAAATAGTTTCACAATTTACCCGTGTTGAGGGAGTTACAGATGGTAATTCCAGGGCAGGTCTAGATGAGCTAGATGGGGATGCCTACACATTGAAGACAACATAGTTAGGAGAAAAGCATAGGGAAAAGAAGAAATCAAACATTAAGAGGAGTTGTACCTCAATCTGCTCCTTGACTCTACCAATTTCATAGCTCCTCACAAAAGCAACCAACTTTTCCACGCCATAGTTTGTTTCATTCTACACAGATCATAATACTACCATGACTATTACGCGGACAAACTTTTAAGCTAAGCCAAAAATGAAATTAGCAAGCCAATTCAAATACCTGTCTCCCTTCAATCCTACTAATTTTTGTCCCCTGTTCATATAAGAAAAGGCAGTTTTCAATTCCACAAGACAAATCAAATCTAGCTAACAAGGCAAAATATACAAGAAAAAAAGTTCATATGGAAATGCTGATGCATAGAAAATATCTCACCAGTGATCTGACAACTTGGTGAACAGATTGGACATCCTCACTAAATTTGCTCACTTCTCCTCGAATTTCAGAAACCTATACATTTAACAATGCTGCATCAAATATCAGAAATCTCAAACCTTCAAATTAACTAACTGTACAAGCCATTATTGGCCTCACCTCATCTCTTGTAGCAGCAGTATTATCCACACACTCGTCTATTTTAGAATCGACGCGGTCAATTCGTGAAGCTAAATGACGCTTTGTGGCCTGGCATGATAAAGGAACCCAATAAAGTTAATGACACTAAACATAACAGAAAAATGTGAAAAAACAAACATCACAGCAGGCAGGCAAGCAATGGTTAAAATCTTAACCAAATATTTCCTGTAGACTGAATAACTGCCCTACCTACCAAGGGGTAGAACAGTAAACAGGACCTACTGCATAACAACAGATGCATTGAAGCAAACCTTGGGCATCTCTTATTTGATAGCCACATGCAGAATGACCTGAACCATGCAGTTCATTTTTCTTTTTCTATTTTTTTGGTGTCTTGGTCATGAGTCAAGTTAGTGTCCCTTTTTTTTTTTTAAATAACCGTGGTATCCGGGCCAGTTGACGCGCACAGGAATAATTTCCACGGGATACTTGCTAACTCCCACTAGCAACAGGTATCAGGTAACTCGTAACTCTGTCCACCAAAACTTAGACAGATGGGAAGAAATCACCTAGTTTTTTTGTTTCCGCTAGGATTAGAACCTGACCTCATGGTTCTCAATCCACTTCATTGACCACTAAGCCACACCCTTGGGTGCGACTTATGACTTAGTACAGAGTGTCTTAAAGAAACAAAGCACAATAAATCACCTGTAGAAAATTCTTTAATGGTGTGGCTCATGTAGTCATGCATGCTTAACATAGCATTCATAACACCTAGAGCTACATATACATGATTTAAAGTCAGTAGTACTCGTAACTTCCCTAATGCCATATGTCAATGAACACGCATACAGTAGGAATCTAGACAATACAAATGAAATCGGCAGTCATGCCAATAATCACCAATTTGAGAACACAAAAAAACTCTTTTTACAACACCAATAAAATGAGGATTCATTGCCTGAACGTCATATTCCTAGCTTAATGAGTATTTTGTTAGTAGGGAGGCAACTGTCTTAGCTTGATGATTATTTTCGTCAATAAGAGGCGTAACAAAGATACAAACAGAGAGAAGTGCAGCCTCAATCATGAACTTCAAGATGCAAGGAAACAGGCCATCATCATGAGCAGTTTGAGTTTTTATTTAAACACAAAATAAGGTAATAACCCTTGGAAGATATCCAATGACATTGGACATATACAAAGCATACAGAATTCACTTCACAGAATCGTACATGGCGATTACACGACAGATTTACTGTCCAACTCAGTCTGAGTTTCACATGTTTATATGTATTTATAAGAAGAGTAAATCAGGAATCAAGAACTTACAGAAATAGATGTATATACACTCTCGAGCTGTTTGGACACATTAGCACATGCATCAGATAAGCTCCGCCTGGTTGCAAACATTAATTCGGGAAGCTTCCAACCCTACAAGCATGCATTTCAATTCTAAGGTGGAGTTGTTAAAGAAGCCGGGAAGAGAATTCAAGCCTATGGCATCCGAAATAGCAGGCAATAATTAACTATTAGGCTCCCTCTCAGTTACCAAAAAATAATTATAAGGTTCATGTTTGACTAAAAGCATATACCTAAGATTGGCTATGACCATTGCCTTTTACCTCAACAATTTGTTTGTGTGAGAAAGCACGGGAGAAAATATATTATTAATGTATATTCATATGTTACAATGAGCCCTATATATATACACACATAACATGTCCTACTCCTAATATATATTGGATTAGGGTTATTTATTTACTCCTATTTACATGACTATTCTAACACTCCCCCTCAAGCTGGTGCATATAAATCATATGTACCGAGCTTGTTACATATGTAGTTAATACGAGGACCAGTGAGGGACTTGGTGAAAATATCTGCAAGCTGATCATTCGACTTCACAAACTTTGTAGCAATATCTCCCGAGAGTATCTTTTCTCTAACAAAGTGACAGTCAATCTCAATGTGTTTAGTTCTCTCATGGAACACTGGATTTGACGCAATATGAAGAGCAGCTTGATTATCACACACAAGTCCCATCTGACTAATCTCACCAAATTTCAACTCCTTGAGCAACTGTTTGATCCAAATTAGCTCACATGTCGCCATAGCCATCGCTCGATATTCTGCTTCTGCACTAGACCGAGCAACCACATTCTGTTTCTTGCTCTTCCAGGACATCAAATTTCCTCCTACCAAGACACAATATCCAGACGTAGAATGTCTATCAGAAGGTGATCCTGCCCAATCAGCATCTGAGTATCCAAGATGCTCATGGCCTCGACCCTCAAACAATAAACCTTTGCCTGGAGCTGATTTTATATACCGAAGAATGCGAACAACTGCATCCCAATGACTATCACACGGAGAATCCATAAACTGACTCACAACACTCACAGAAAAGGAAATGTCAGGTCTTGTCACTGTAAGGTAATTTAATTTACCAACCAACCGTCTATATCTTGCAGCATCGCTAAGAGGCTCCCCCTGTCCTGGCATAAGTTTAGAATTCGGATCCATCGGAGTGTCAACCGGTCTACAACCTGTCATTCCTGTCTCTTCAAGAATATCTAAGGCATACTTTAGTTGTGAGATCACAACACCTGAGCTAGACTGAGCGACCTCAATACCCAGAAAATACTTTAGTTTGCCCAGATCCTTAGTCTGAAAGTGTTGCAAGAGATGTTGCTTCAATTTAGTAATACCATCCTGGTCATTGCCGGTAATAACAATGTCGTCAACATAGACCACCAGATAAATACAGAGACTCGAGGCAGAATGCCGATAGAATACAGAGTGATCAGCTTCACTCTGAATCATGCCAAATTCTCGAATAACTGTGCTGAACTTACCAAACCAGGCTCGAGGAGACTGCTTTAGACCATAAAGTGACCGACGCAAGCGACATACAAGGCCACGAGACTCCCCCTGAGCAACAAACCCAGGTGGTTGCTCCATATAAACTTCATCCTCAAGGTCACCGTGTAAAAAAGCATTCTTAATGTCCAGCTGATAGAGGGGCCAATGGCGAACAGCAGCCATGGATAGAAAAAGGCGGACTGATGCTATCTTAGCCACAGGAGAGAAGGTATCACTGTAATCGAGCCCAAATATCTGAGTATATCCTTTGGCAACAAGACGAGCCTTAAGACGATCAACCTTACCATCCGGACCAACCTTGACTGCATACACCCAACGACAACCAACAGTAGATTTACCTGAAGGAAGAGGGACGAGCTCCCAAGTACCACTCGTATGTAAAGCAGACATCTCGTCAATCATAGCCTGTCGCCATCCTGGATGAGACAATGCTTCACCTGTAGACTTAGGGATGGAAACAGAGGACAAAGAAGATAGAAAAGCATAATAGGGTGATGACAAACGATGATAACTCAAACCGACATAATGGGGATTAGGATTAAGGGTGGCCCGTATACCTTTCCGAAGTGCAATCGGTTGATTAAGAGGAGACAAGTCCGCAGTATTAGCAGGGTCAGGTGCAGGACGTGAATCAGCTGGACCTGATGCTGGGCGCGGACGACGATGATATGTCAAAAGTGGTGTTCCTGTGGCAGGGAGTCTAGGAGGAGCCACACTAGACTCCTCAACGGCTGGAATGGATAAGACTTCTATAGCGGAAGGTGAAGGAGGAGCTATAGGAGACTCGGGTAAGACTTCTGTGGCGGAAGGTGAAGGAGGAGCTATAGTAGACTCCTTAAAGGTCGGTATAGGTAAGACCTCAGATATATCAAGGGGGTCAGAAAGGTCAGAAGAGGTAAAGAAAGGTTTAGACTCAAAAAATGTGACGTCAGAGGACATAAAGTACCTACGAAGATCAAGTGAGTAACAACGATAGCCCTTCTGAACACGAGAATAACCAAGGAAGACACACTTGAGAGCACGAGGAGCTAACTTATCTTTCCCAGGGGCTAGGTTATGAACGAAACAAGTGCTCCCAAAAACACGAGGGGGAACAGAGTATACGGGTGATTGGGGACACAATACTGCATACGGTATCTGATTCTGGATGGGAGAGGAAGGCATCCGATTAACTAAATAACAAGCTGTGAGAACTGCATCGCCCCAAAAACGCAGCGGAACATGAGATTCAATGAGAAGTGTGCGAGCAGTCTCAATGATGTGCCTATTCTTTCTCTCTGCAACCCCATTTTGCTGAGGGGTATAAGGACAAGAGGTCTGATGAATAATTCCTTGAGAAGTCATAAACTGCTGAAATTGAGAGGATAAATATTCTAAGGCATTATCACTGCGAAAAGTGCGAATGGAAACACCAAATTGATTTTTAATTTCAGCACAAAAATTCTGGAATATAGAAAACAACTCAGAACGATCTTTCATTAAGAAAATCCAAGTACATCTTGAATGATCATCAATAAAACTAACAAAATAACGAAATCCCAAGGTTGAACTGACTCTACTAGGACCCCATATATCAGAGTGAACTAAAGAAAAAATAGACTCTACGTGACTCTCAATACTACGATGATAGGAGGCTCGGGTATGTTTCCCGAGCTGACATGACTCACACTCTAATGTGGATAAACTAGACAAACCAGGCACCATCTTCTGAAGCTTGGATAAGCTTGGATGTCCTAAACGTTTGTGAATTAGGTCCGGAGGATCTGTAACTAGACATGCCTTGGAGGATTTTAGGGAGTTAAGGTAGTAAAGCCCTTCTGATTCAAGTCCTGTTCCAATCGTCTGCCCTGTACTGCGGTCCTGCATAATAAAAGAATCATCAATAAAATATATACCACAATGGAGGGCACGAGTCAAACGACTAACAGATGCAAGATTAAAAGGACAGCCAGGGACATAGAGAACGGAATCTAGAGTGACAGAGGGTAGGGGATTCGCTTGTCCAACTCCTTTTGCTTTGGTTTGAGACCCATTGGCTAAAGTAACAGTGGGAAGAGACTGTGAATACGCAATATTTGACAAAAGTGATTTATTACCAGAGATATGATCAGAAGCGGCTGAGTCCACAACCCATTGTCCAGGAGGACTAGACTGGGAAACACAAGCAAAAGAATTACCAGCAACAGAAGTATTAGTCTGAGCAACAGAAGCTACTTGTGGAGATGTCTGCTTACTTGCTCGATACTGAAGGAACTCATTATACTCCCCTTCAGATAAAGAAAATCCCTGGTTACCTGTAGTCTCAGTCTGAGCAACATAAGCATTTTTGGTTGGGCGGCCATGTAAAGAATAGCATACATCACGAGTGTGTCCAAGTTTATGACAATAGGAGCACTTGGGTCTAGATCTTCCAAAACGACCTCCTCCTCGTCTATTTTCCATAGTATGAGATGCCCGATTGTCCACTGATTGGGATACGAGGACAGATGAGTCAAGTGTCTGTGATGAGCTCACTGGGTGACTAGGTGCTGCAGCAAGGCGAAGTAATCGAGAGAATAATTCATCAACTGTGGGGACGGTTGGACTAGCCAAAATCTGGTCACGTACTGAATCAAGGTCATTAGGGAGTCCAGCGAGTGTAAGAACTAGAAACATCTTCTGTCGTTGCTCTTGTTGTTTTTCAATACTAGCAGAAACTGGCATCAACGTCTCAAATTCTTCCATGACTGCCTGAACTTGTCCCAAGTAAGTAGACATATCTAATTCCTGTTTCTTCAAGCTTGTCATTCGCGATATTACATCATAGAAACGAGATATGTCATTAGTGTATAGATTACGAGCCTTTTCCCAAACTAAATAACATGTCTGGAATGGACGGAACAAGGGCATCAACTTGGAATCAATAGATCGCCACAGGATACTACATAACTGAGCATCGACCTTCTCCCACTGTGTTTTGGCCTTTTCATCACCTTCGCTAGCCTTTTTTGTTAAATGATCTTGAACTCCTTGACCTTTACACCACAACTCGACAGATGAAGCCCAATCTAAGTAGTTTGAACCTCCCATTAAAGGTTCTGAGGTAATCATAACACCGGAACTGCCAGAACCCGGGTTTCTAGACCCGAAAGCATCGACTCCCAAAGACATGGTTGGATTATCACCAAATAACAAAAAGAATCAACTGAAAATTCTCTGAAACAGATGAAGAAAACACTGTGTTTGCCGGAAAAGTACTGTAGCTGCCGGAAAAATCAGTGTAGTCGCCGGAAAAACTCAAAGTGGTCGGAATCAAACGAAAAAGGTATGGACAGACTCGGAATTACTAGGCGATCCGACTGTCCAACTGGAAGATTTTCAAAAAATGGCCGAAACAGTGCTCACGCGCCGGCGCATGGGGGCGCGTGGGTCAGATTTGCCGGAATATCGCCGGCGTGTGAGGGCGCGTGAGGTGGTGTTTTCCGGTGGGGTTTACTGGGGTTTGGTCGCCGGAGCCTTGGAAACCCTGTGGTGGTGTTGGTTTTTGCACAACACTGATAATTAGTGACTTTGACGCAATTAGTCACTTAGGTCACCGGAAAATTGCACGGTGACTGAGTTGTTTCTTCCCGGATATCGTTGGAATGACGCACAACGATAAATTTCTCACGGTTGCTCTGATACCATGTGAGAAAGCACAGGAGAAAATATATTATTAATGTATATTCATATGTTACAATGAGCCCTATATATATACACACATAACATGTCCTACTCCTAATATATATTGGATTAGGGTTATTTATTTACTCCTATTTACATGACTATTCTAACAGTTTGAAAGCCTCATATTAGGAAAATAAACTCTTAACAGTAAGGGAACACTTCGTACTCAATCACCCCATTCCTTGAGATAAGGATGGTGCAGTAAATCATCAAATGGAGGACAGTTACTTGAACCATGAATTAGAAACTTAATTTTTGCATCGAATGGGGATAGTTACTTTAAATATGAATTGTATGTCATCAATAATGTTGGGTGCAAATAATTATGTCCCTGGTAAAAAAAGACATTAATTTTGCATCAACATTATTTATGAAATACAGTATTGCAGAAAGAAATAAAGGTGTTACCTTCCACCAAATATAACCATACCCCATGACCACAACAACAATGATTATAGTGTATCTGCTAGTACCTGCATAGAATTTTAAAAACCAAGTTAAATGCGTGAAATAATTCGCAAAATGTCATTGGTCACTGCAATAAATAATGCTGTAAATGAAGCAGGCTGAAAGATCGTTACAAGTTAGGAGATTTTAATTTGCAAGGCATGTATAACACTGACAGTGAGACCACAATTTGTCTCAGTAGATCAAGAAATGACAGTAGAGATGTCCTAAGACACTCCTGGCATAAAAGGCCAGTTGTTTCCACCTGAAGGTGTAAGGTTATTTAATTGCTTTCATATACAACTAACAATCTGTAGTAACAGAAACCTGATCCACTTGATGTCACAATTGTAACAGATCTATTTGAAGCCAAGAGTTGTAGCTCCTGCCGTAAGCTATTAACCTGTAAAGAAAATCATTCCCCGTAAATAAAACTTTGATGAATTCAGCGCAGCAGGTATGCTGATATATGAAATCAATTAAACGACTTTTTTCTTAAAGAGCAAAAATTTGACAGCTTATAGAAAAGGATTGATTATAAAACGCAAGGCACACATAATTACTTGTTATTCTCATCAATGTTCTTTTTCTTTTGGCTGCACAAGCATCATGTTGAACCATATAGAAAGATGTTTTACAGGAGAATGAAATCAACAAAAGGCTGTTTTAGCGAAAATAAGATATATGATCTTCTCTAAGTATCACTGTTAATATTATGAACCACCAATCCTGAACCCCAAAGTTCTGCACAAACAAACTTTGAGTAGTATATAAGTCAAGCTCCAATATTAATCAAGCTTTAAATCGATCTTGAGAGTTTAGTGTGACTCATGTCGATAAAGTAAACGAGCTTAGGATGAGCTCAAACTCGAACTTCAGTCCATGCGGATATTTTCAGGCCCGTTGGGGAATTATAAAGTTTTATATAACTTAAGCAAATTTTAGAATTGAATTTTAATAAATGAAAATCTTTTCAAGGTGTTGCAGAGAAATGGATTTTGGCCATCAAAGATATAACATATATAAGAGATCTTTAATAGCTTCTATTTATACTTTTAGATACTTCAAGTAAAAAAGGTAAGATGGTCTCATGAACAAAAACGAGCTTAACACAAGCTCAGTCCCTTAAATGTGAGCTCAAACTTGAGCACACGCTCATCCAGTATGAGTAAATATCTAAACCAATGTTGAGCTTACTTGAGCCCAAAGATCCTTTGTTCACAAAATAGCTCGAGTTAGCAAAAGCCCTCTTAATACAATGATCCTCCAAGCCACCAACCCAGATAGGTGGAGAAAAGAGAGAAAGATAATGGATGCATGTTGGCATTCAAAATAAAAAATAATAATAAATAAATAAAAAGTCAAATCCAACTAAATGTTCAGAGCAATGTCTCAAGTTAATTTTTTAGTATCAAGTTCCTTCACAACAGATAACTGTCAAGGCAAAAGATTTGAAGATCCCATAGTTTACTATCAACTCATTCAACATTTCCTTTTCCCAAGGACAATTTTTCACGTCCAAAATATGTATTGTATTAGATATGCTAACCTTGATCATCAGGAAATCTTTGTTCAGCTCTTCCCTATTGGGTAAAAGATAGCTCCCATTAGCACCACAAATTATCCACCTCCCTTATTTCTCCTGGAGCCCTATACTTTTGTCCTAGAAAAAAGCAAAACTAGAAGAGAGCGCATTTTATCTAAGGCCAAATAAGCCATATGTCTCAAGCCATGGGGTGTGCTCCTCTCTTTTAACTTTAAAACCAAAAACTCTTTTATGCACCCAACGTGTTGCCTGGTGGTCAATGAAGAAGTGGAGGAGAACCATGAGGTCTTAGGTTCAAACTCCAAAGGAGGCAGGAAAGACTAGGAGTTTCTTCTCATCTGCCCAAACCTTGGTAGGTAAAGTTACACGGTACCTATGCTGGTGGGAGGTAGCAGGTACCTGGTGGAATTAGTCAAGGTGCACATAAGCTAGCCCCAACACCACCGTCATCCAAAAAAATAAATTAAAACTCCTATGTAGTAAAATCCCTGCAAAGAAACATCTATTTTTGACACATACAAGTCTATCATTTTAATTTGATACTCGTGCTAGAAAAAAGGGTATTAAGTGCTTCTTTTGTTATAGGAGAGGTAGTGGAATCAGAGAAATATATAGCTTAAAAATGCTATATTCGCGGCTCTTTGCAGAATAACATTGACCACAATAGTAATACCATTATCTTTGATAACCATTACATTCCAGTGCAAAAACCAAGAAAAAGACACCAAGACTTGGACAAATAATCGCTTCTCGTCCATAAAGCAATGATACCCTGGGCTAAGATTATGGAGACAACTTCCCTCATAATAGCCTACATCTGTACCGGCAAAAAACCTTCCACAATGATTAATCTGGCTAACTACGCTAAAGGTTCCTTCCTCACCGCATTTGTTTGACAGTTTAAAGAGATATTTCAAAGAGATACTTCATGAATGCTGATTCAGTCCTTTGTCATTACACCATTCATTTGAACTTTTCCTATGTTTACAACCCACTTTCTGTCCTTCGGTTTGTAACCAAATTTTTCTCTCAGATCTCCTTCAAATTCCAGTTCCCCGGAATAACCAGCAAAAAGAAAATGCTGAAGCTTTCTATGCTGATCAAAAGTCGTTCTAATCCCTCCTCTCAGGCTCATAATCTCAGTCGGACACCTACGAAAGACTTGCTGCATATGACATACACCATTCATTTAACATTTCCTAACTCAACTGTGGGATCTCCAAAATTAGATGCTGGCAAATATCTATATATTATTAGAAGGAGAGGAAAAAGCCCTCTCATTAAGCCAAGTGAAAACCTTAAAATTAGCCACATATAGCGTATTAACTATTAACTAATAACTAATTCAGCCATATGGCATAACCAGAAAATCCACATATAACTTACTTCTTAATTAATTAATATTAAATAACTAAATCAAAAATTAGAAACTTCTCCTATAACCCACGCCTTCTACCTATTCCATCAAGAAACTACCAACTGATATCTACTTGTCAAGGATGATTGAAGCAAAACTTTAGCCTTAACAAAAAATTATAATCTTTTAACTCCAGGATCATCATGATGAACAAACTAAAGGAAAATCACAAATTTCAAAGATGAGAAAAACCATTAGCACCAAATATGAACAAGCAAGAGGCAAAAATAAACCTGCTGCATCAAGGAATCATTTTTTGGCTTTGGAGTTGAATTGGTTGAATTATCTTGCCGAATTTGCTTTAATGCAATCTGCAGTCAGAGGACAATGTACTTGCATTAGATCTAGTGCATTTCAAATTGACATGGTAGAGAAACTTAAAAAGCAATGCAACTAGAACTCTCAAAACTACTGTGAATAGCAACCAGACCTTAAATGCGCCGGAGAAGAAATCAGAGACATTTGGCAATCGTCCTTCCTTAGCAAGTACCGACCCAACAATGCCTGCACGACATACGAGATAAATTATTTGATACTAACGATACACTTGTTTTATCTTATTAATTTTATTGTTTTTGACTTATTAGTTTTAGGAAGGGGAGCCTTGTAGAAGTTGCAGCCATGTGACCAGGAGGTCACGAGTTCAAGCCGCGAAAATAACCCCCGGCAGAAATGCAAGGTAAGGTTGTGTACATGAGAACCAATGTGATCCAGCTCTTCCCCGGACTCGCGCTTAGTGGGAGCTTAATGCACCGGGCTGCCCTTTTTATTAACTTCTTAATTTTAGTTCCTCCAGATGAAAATTATCCAGAATAAGAGAAAATTGCAATCTTTAAAACGCCATTCATAGTTCTTTCTCCCCATGTGTGAAATCCAAAAGTTCTATAGAATCAACTTCATGTCCTCAAGCTACTCTCCTTATGCCTTATTGTCAAATCATTACTTTTTTCTCAAAAATCTTCAACTCTTCTACTTTGTTAAGGCATGAAAGAGGCCCAAACGTAATCAAGGGTTATTGCTCCCCAAGTTCCCCTTTGCATTTTCGGCAAAGAGGTTGTTTCCACATCTCAAACACGACAAACCAACTCTATTTTTGCGCCAATAAAGGCGGTAGTACTTCAATTGCCATTCATTCACTTAGGGTTTAGCAAACCACTAAAAATTTGCAACTCAAAACTTTTGATAGCAACAAAACGGTTTCGTATAACAAATAACATAATACGCGCTACACATCCTATTTCACCCAGAGCATAAAGTATTAACTAAAAATCCAGCTAAGCTCACTATAACCAAACAAAAAAGAAAAATTGATACGGGAGGAGTAACGGAGAAACAGAGAGTACGAACCAGCACCAACGAGGATAGTGAGCTTGCCGAGAGGGAGAGCCATGGAGATTTTCGGAATCGATCATGAAAAAGAGGAAACCATTGATTTCTATTTGCAATCTGAGAATTGCAGAGTAAGTCGCTGAGCTGCGTTGATTAATTAAAATAGGACGACTTGGAGAACAAGGCAGAGTCGTCCGATCGTTCAACCCTACTTTCGTGAGTTTCGGCTCGGAATCTTATTTTAGGGAAAATATAAGTAAACAATAAATAGATAAATATGAAATAAAATCTGCGGATTTTTGGATTTACGCAAAGGACCCTATGTTTTAGCATAAATAAAGAAGAATATAAGCATTTGGTTGCTTATTAGAGTTACGCAACTATTAATAATGCAGAGATTAATTATGTAGGAATTAGTTATGCAAAATTTTGTCATGCATGATTCAATTATGAATGAATTAATTATGTAAGGATAGGTAATGCAAAGATTATTAATTTATGGATCGTAATATAGAGATTATTTTTTGTTAAATATTTACTTTATTTTAATTATACTGTCACGATCCGAAATTCCCAACCACGGGACCATGATGACGCATAATATTTACTCGCTAGGCAAGCCAACATTAGCTATGAATTTACCAATTTTTAACAATTTAAAAGCAGAATAATAATAATTAATACTGAAATGCTCTAAAATACATAAAACAACTCCATAAGTAACGCAGTTTATACTAATCCCAGAAATCTAGAGTCACAAGTACATGATCAACTAGAATACTACCATTAAAATCTGAAACAAAGTACAACTATTCGAAACAAGGTAAACAATAAGCTAACTAAGGAAGGGGACTTCAGAGACTGCGGACGTTGTTCAACCCTACCTCAAGTCTCTTGAAAAGATATGATCCGAGTAAGCCTCCTTTAGATACCGTTGGGGCCAGTACCATAATCTGCACAAGAAGTGCAGAAGTGTATTATGAGTACAACTGACCCAATGTACTCCGTAAGTGTTGAGCCTAACCTCGACGAGGTAGTGACGAGGCTAAGGCAAGATCCCTACAACAAACTTGTGAAGTTATATATATACATAAAAGAATAACAAATAAAGAGTCAAATGAAACAACAAAGGCATGTATAGGGGACAACATACTGAAACAGTAAGTGAGAAACCATGAAATAAACCTCTGTCCAACACGAGCAATGAAACTACCAAATCATAATCCACATCACCAAATATCAAGTAATACAATAAAATCAAATAAACTCTGATGGTAGGCTATAATCTCATATTTTAGTCGCTTATTGCACTCTAATTCACCGCAGTTTACTTGTGTTTGAACTTTAATTGGTAATATTTTGCACTTATTGTGTGTTTTATGCCTTATAGGAGTAATTTCGAGTGATGTAGATATTGTTGAGCTAATTCGAGTTATTTGGAGCTTTGAAGTCTGAGTAAAAGCCCAAGGAATTAAGCCGGGATCGCGTTGGGGGGTCAAGGACCACGTCTGGACATCAAAAAATGAGCAAAAACATGACTCTGAGGATTTTGCACTGCTGCGGCGCGTGAGGCGGCATGTGGTGCACCCGCTGTAGTGTATTTTGGCAGCCTGATGAATTCTCGAGCTCTCTGGATTTCCCCACTAACGTTCTGCATGGTGCGCCGCCTCATGCGGCGCGCTTGTGTATTTTTCCAGAGCTATTGTCCTATTTCGGCTAGGAAAGGGTGGTTTCGTCTGGGCCGGATCCTACTTGGTATAAATAAATGGAAAAATATTATTTTCTGGACTTTTGACATACTTTCGACCTAAGGGAGCTAAGGAGGAGTTGGAGGAGCAAAAGCACAAGGATTTCATCATTCCTTCCTCACTCAAGACCCGAGTTTGCATTGAATTTATGTTTTCCTATCTTTTAATTATATTTGTGATGAATTACTCCATGTCTATGGAGTAGTTCTCTTTTAGGGTTTGATGGATTTGGTGTATTGATGATTGTTTATGGATTATAACTCTAATTTTATGTATTGAAGCATTTTGGATTATTTAATTATTGCATCTACATTCACTAGTTCATGTATTCGAGAGAGGCATAACATGTGATATCTTTGCACTATATTGTCTGTTGAGTTCATAGATTCTTCTAATTAATCAAAAGAGGCTATTGAGTCATTGATTATACCGAGTTAGGAGAATAATCGAGAGAGGTTTTCCTAAAGATCAATCCACTACGTATTCTTGCATATCTTCACAGTGCTTAAATTGGTTCATCTCGTGAAGTTAAGACCTAATTGAGAGAGGAGTTTTTGTTAAACGTTTGAACTAATAATCAAGTGAATTCGAGAGACTCACTTGAACGTTAGAAGTGAATTATCTAGAATTAGATCCCGAACAATTATCTTGCACCTATCCTATCAAAACCCTATCTTCTCCCATTGATAACCTTCCTTACTTATTCCTTGTTGCGATTGTCATTAGTCAATAGCTTTATATTCTTAGTTAATTTTAGTATTAATCACATAAATCTCAATTGTTGATCATTTTGGATAGCAATCAAGCTAGAAACTACGAAAATATTGTTTAACTCCAATCCTTGTGGATACGATATTATACTATACCATGTTTGATTAGCGAGTATATCTTAAGTATGTGTTTTGAGCTCGTCAAATATTGGCGCAGTTGTTGGGGATTGGCAATCAATAGTCTTTGAAATAGTTTGTAGTGCTAATTCATGAATTTTTTCTTTTTTCTTTTATTTTCTCTTTTTACGTTTGGTGTTCTTTGGCTGAGCGCAGGTTACAGGTTAAGAATGGTGCATGACTCGAGCTTCTGCAAAATAAGTGCTACCATACGAGCTAGAGATAGAAAAACAATTGCGACAGCTAAGGAAGGAAAAAGATCTCACCGTGACATCGGAAAAGGTTGGGCAATCCTCAACCAAAGAAACTATGGATGGAAATGACGATGATAATGTGGATTTGGTTACAAGAGAGGCAACTCGACAACGAGAAAAGCTGCACGGGATGATGATGAAGCAGCTATTAGAGATGCACATATTATCTATAAAGAAGAGAGGGGTCGAAGAATTGCTCAAAATCAACCATTGGCTACAGACCAGTTCAGAAATATAGCTCCCATGCCTGGGAGACCACTTGGCGATTATGCTAGGACCGGTCTACAATCAAGGATTATCTAGTGTTAGACCACCTCCAATTGTAGCAAACAATTTCGAATTGAAGCAAGGGCTGCTTCAAACCATTCAGAATTGCTGTGTTTTTTGAGGAAAGATGAACGAAGATCCAAACACAGATCTAATGGACTTCGAGGAGATCATGAACACCTTTCAATATAATGGGGTATCACAAGATGTATTGTACTTAAGGGAATTCCCCTTTTCACTCAAAGATGGCGCGAAGCAGTGGCTTCGAAGCTTGCCCAATGGATCGATTAGAACGTGGGATGAGATGACCAGAAAATTTCTTGATAAATATTTCTCCTCAGAAAAAACTAGCAAGTTTAGAAGAGAAATTCATAACTTCTGTCAGAAAGAGATTGAAACTGGTTTTGAAGCATGAGAGAGGTTTAAGGAGATAGTTTGAAAGTGTCAACATAAGCATGAGAGAGGTTTAAGGAGATAGTTTGAAAGTGTCAACATAGCAGAATTGAACATTGGATGCAACTCCAGGACTTTTGGGGTGGAGTGACACCGGCCTCGCATAGAACATTGAGCAATGCAGCCGGAGGCCCTTTGATGAAGTAGACTCCAGAGGAGATAGTTACAATTCTTGATGAGTTATCTGAAGATGCTAACCAGTGGCCCTCTGAGAGTGCTGAAAGAAGAAGCTCGACTGGTGTTCACCAAGTTGATGCTAATACATCTGTGCAGGTACAACTTGATGCTATGGCTAAAGAAATACGAAAGCTGACCTTAGCCACGATACAAAGTGAACCTCATGCACCTTGTGATATATGTGGAAGAGGACACCAGTCGGCCTCAACTGAGGAGGTGAATGCTGTGGGAAATTATAATTTTAATGCAATGGGTCAGAAGCACCCCGGTTTTTCATGGAGTTCACCTGTGGTACTGCAAATGCATGGCAACAAAACAATTCCAGATTTCAGGGACAAGGAGCTCCTGGTTTCATGAATCAGCCGAGGCAGCAGTTTCAGCCTCAGCAACCCAATTAGCCTGGTCTAGAAGATCTCATGAAGGTCTTTATTGTGAAAACTGATGAAAGATTTGAAGTACAAGGGGCAACAATTCGAAATTTAGAGAAGCAAGTGGGACAAATTGCAACAATATTATCTGAGAGCGTTCCAGGAACTCTCCCCGCTGATACTAAAAGAAATCCCAAAGAAACAGTGAATGCTGTAACCTTGAGAAGTGGGCAAGTGTTAAAAGATCCCACCCCAATCCAAAAAGATGTGATACCTGAAAAAGAAAGCGGGGAGCAACTAAAAAGTGATGATGATAAGAAGAAGAAAGGCCCGATGTAAGCTAAGAAAAAGAAGAAAGAAGGAAAATCGAGAAGTGAGGAACCTGAGGGGAGCGAGTATATGCCTGCTTTACCTTTCCCCCAAAAGCTATATAGAGAAAAGCTGGACAAGCAGTTCGAGATATTTCTGGATGTGCTGAAACAGGTTCGTGTAAACTTACCATTCACAGAAGTACTCTCACAAATACCGGCTTATGCTAAATTTTTGAAGGAGATCCTTACAAAGAAGAGAAAAATAGAGGAGACCCCAGTGGTCAAGCATAGAGCATTGCATCGCGATATTGCAAAACAAACTCCCACTAAAGTGTGGAGATCTAGGGAGTTTTACTATACCTTGCTCTTTAGGAACTATTAATTTTGATAAGTCTTTATGTGATTCTGGTGCCTTAATTAATTTGATGCCTCTATCTATTTACAAGAAACTGGAGAAGGAGATTGAAGAGATAATGTCTGCACCTATATCTTTGCAGCCGGCAGACCAAACAACTCTAATACCCGGGGGAATAGTTGAAGATGTCTTAGTTCGGATGGATAAGTTGGTATTTCCTGTGGATTTTATAGTGGTGAAGATGGAGGAAAACAAGGAGGTCCCCCTCATCCTAGGAAGACCATTCTTAGCAACAGGAAGAGCTATATTAGATATACAAGAGAGAAAACTCATTCTTTGAGTGGATGAGGAGACTGTGACTTTCAAGATGGATGTAGAAAAGGGGGCACAAAAGGAAAAACCAGTTGCAAGTGTTGA